CTCGACGCTTGCGCACAGGGCTGCTCTTAGAGTCCCTCGGGATTCCCCTGGCATTCCCCATAATATACCCTCTCCCGGTCCTCCCTCGTACCCTCCCGCACCCTCCCCCCAAGCGCCCTCTCTTTACCTCCTCGAAGCCTTCGCGTCGCAGCTGTACCGACGGACTACAGGACTTTCCAGCTTCCCAGCGGGGAGTCAAGATCAAGACCGCTCGATGCGATTATTTCGCGTTGATTATTTTATACCATGTCGTGCATGTCGGGGATTTATAGACGGGAAACGCGGTTTTCCTTTTGCTGCAGTTTTCACGTTTTGCGCTTTATTATTTTATTTCGTCTCGATCGCGCGTATCTTATCGGAAATACATCGAGTGTATACTTCTTAGAATAAGCTGCCCGAGAGCGCAATGATAAGTAAAATCGAACGACTTGTGAAGAATACATGCTTATGTGGATCGGATTATGAGTAAATATTTTCCTTTCCCCTCCTTCCACCACGTTGCGAATTTCCATCGAAACTACTCAAATCTGTCACAGCAATTACCGCGAAGTCCTGCGAGACAATCCGCGAGAGAAGGATATTCCGAGTGATGTTACAACCTTCCCTGCCGACCGTCGTCCCCGTCACCCACCATCGGGCCCGAGGAGGCTTTCCCCATCGGGATTCGAGATCCCCCATTTTCTTAATGTCAGAGATTTCAATCTGTCACAAGAGCGGCTCGGCAACTTTTCGCTTATCCGCCCGACAATTTCCACGGGCATCGCCAAAGTTTTACGCATCGTGTAATTTAGCTCGCGATACTTCTCGCCGAGACAACGGCGATTCGTCAGCGTCTGAGAAAGACGTTCACGAGATAAGAGCGATACGAGCGCACGCACGTTAAGTCAAAGTACATGATCCAAATTTGAAAAAAATCTAAGTTACTTATTGCGCGTTTCAGCAAGAAAAAAATCATTCTTTTGCGTTCATTTTAATGTCGGATAGGAATAATCCGCGAGTTGTACAAGTTTGTGTCGAGATCGGTTCCATATTTATTGTGGGATATACTTTCGGAATCGTCCGTTTCATCGTTCTCCCGTATATAAAGTAAAGGAACAGAAATCGTGGGAGAATCGGTGTTGGTGCAATAGGTGTTAAAAGTTTCGTCTTTCTGTTTCGTAGAAAAAAAGAGAAGCACGGCTTTAAGAAGTTAAGAGCATTACAACGGCTGCTAATTGGCTGCGTTCGCGCACAATAACAAGAGAGAGAGAGAGAGAAAGCAGAAAAAGGTCGCGAGCGCGTAACTAGACCGGCTGAATAATCGAGTCCCGGTGGGGGTGACTCGAGCGGCCCTTCGAAGATAGCGAAGGTCGCTTCTATATCGTCTCTACTCTTCCTTCTCAGCTGGCGGATGCAATAAGGCGTTAACCCGCAATCCTCGCGTTCTTCCCTCGTCTTTCTTTCCCCGTTCTCTCCTCCCTGCATGCACCCTTACGGCGAAAGGAAGCCGATATTCCCCGGATGATAATACACGAATGCGCCACTATGTTCGAACACTTGTCTCCGTCGTGTTACCGGAGGCTCGTAGCGAACTCATTAGCGATCTCGCGCTTGTGTCAAGGTGTCATGTTCGAAGCTCTCGTTTATCCCTTTGGAACCGCGGTGTATATCATTCGCCGGTTGGTGCGCACGCAATCATAGGTGCGACGCGTAATTTTGTTTTTATCTCCGCTTATGGAATTGTGCACTCGCGAATGAGAACAAGTGAGTGAGAAAGAAAGAGGGAGGGGGGGAATACGAGAAGCGGTCTTTCAGCGGAGACAGTTATTCATTTCCAATTTATCGAAAAGAACATCAAGAAACGCTATTTCCTGAAAGCCTCGGCTTAAGAGATCGTCGGGTTCTGCGTCATCTTCTAATGCGACGAGAAGAATTGCCGCGCGAGCCAATTCCTCCCGAAATGGTGATAGGGTGGCGCAGGTGGCAAAGGTGATCCCGCCGCGCTTATTATGTCGATATATCGTAACCAAAGTTCCATTACAGACTTATATCGGCCAACGCGCGCACGATACGCTCTTCCGAAGTAACGCTCGCCATCATTCATTTCTGGCAAAATAATACGAGCTGTAGATATTATACATGGTAATGTAATAAATTCTATTACCATGTCATTACGTAATACTTCCCGCCGACGAAAGTAGTTCGAATTTATAATACAATAAATGGGTTTCCGCACAGACCTTTGCTATTAAAATATATATCCAATGTATCACGGCGAAATATAGGAGTTTCCACTAGTCAGAATTTTGGTTCTGCAAATTAATCCTGCAAATTCTGCTGAACTGGGAGAAAATCAATGGAGACTTTCGTGATATAATATATTTAATATTCCATTACTTTTATTCAATACCTATTATTCGTGTTTTCCCTCTTTATTCTTAATTTTAGATAAAATATGTGCACGATAAACATAAACATAAAATATATATAATTGATATGAGCAAATAATAGGATTAATGAATACATATTTCTTTATTCATAATTCTTTCATTATTATTTCTTTTTATTTTTTCATTCACCAATTGTATCTTCATCTTATTTTTTATTTTATTCGTGCATGTGGGAATATTATTCGCGATCAAATTGACATTTCGGTAAAAATCTAATTGACTCGTTTATGCAATTCTTGTAGGCGGGATCGACGGGATAATCGCATAATTAGCGTCTCACAAGCGCTAGAAATTCTTCCTGCGATGAGGTGCATACCGCGAATTAATTATAGCCTCGCCTTAAATAAATTATGATAGTAAACGCGTAATTGTACCGCGTGGTGTGCCAAAATCATTCGTTGAATTATTCACGTGTCCGGAAAATGTCGAAGTGTGCGCGATGACGCGATGACAGTGAATGCTGTATTTGACGCAACGAATAACGGAGAATTCGCAGTTTGCGAACTAGGATCTCGCTTTTTCGTTGCGCGCTGTAACACCATCTTCCGATGCGAGGGAAGTAAACGAATATTGTTCTTTAAATGTTGTCGCAACGATGCGATACATCCAACTTCGACTGCCACAGATGAACGAAAAGAATACACGAAAGTACGACTGTTATATGTCGCGCCAATTACGTTCCGCCGAGTTGAACGACAAACTTCGAAGACTTGAAAGTGAAACGTAACTTCGGCGCTAATATCTCGCTAGATACTTTGACCCCGTATTCTCATTGCGTGTTTAGTTTAAAGTGGCTGTACGCTTCCGTCCCACTGAAACAACATGCGTGCAATTTGTGCGAGGGATTTTATTAGACAATACGGACTTTCCGGGTTATCGAAAAGCAAAGACTTTGAGAAAAAAAGAGATTGACTTTTCGAAGAGTTCAGCTTTCAAAATGTTCGCAAAGGCTGGCTTAAAAAAAAAAAACATTTAACGATATACCGATCGTCGCGAGCATTAGTGTTCATCGGGTTGAAAAACGAAGGAGAAAAAAAGGTAGAGAGAGAGCGAGGGAGAAAATAACGATGTCCCAATGGTTTAATGAGCGGCGTGGGTACACGGAACATTAAAGAAGCGAAGGAAGCCCGATGTTTTCAGGTAAGCAGACGGACGAGGCATCTCCCGAGGGAATGCGGGCCGCCTCCTACGGGAGGCAACCTCGTTCCACGAGCTCCTCCAAGCCGGTTTTACCTCCGAGTATAAAGCGCGCGCAAGTACACTTTGCGAAAGGTAACCTGAAATAATAATCGAGCCGTACACGGGGAGCGGATAAAGGTTTGATCTTCCGCCTCCTCGGGGAGGAAAACTGCTGGATACTTGGGAAAGGTACGAATCTTTCGAGACAGTTTCGCTAGTTACGTAACAAGGGCGGTACCGCAGGGCGCCGTGCACACGGGGGAACCGGAAATTTTACTTAGCGCAAAAATAGTTCGTAGGAAACTGTCGGGAGACTGCGGACGAAACGAAACCAAACGAAAAATAGACGTCGACAAATAGGGAGAGAGAGAGGGGGAGAGACACTGTTCCGCTAAATTGGCTCATCGAGTGTCTCATCGTGAACATCGAAAATTTATCCACCGTCTATTTACGATCGATAATTATATGGGATCGCGCGGCGAATCGAACGAATTTGGACCGCACGATTTCGCATGCATGTATGTGCATCTTCATATGTGTGTGTTTTTAATGAAATCAAGTGGGACGAAGAATGAAGGAATCTCCGGGAAAACAAAGCGTATGGGTGCGCACACACATGTGCGTCAGGTGCACTATAATGGGATTATCGTTAAAAAATTAACGTTTCGCGAAGCCGCCCGCCGAGATATTTATATAACAATAGCGTTTAACCGCGCGCAAGAGCGAAATATATTGTCGTCGCCACGCGCAACAAGACGCAATTCAAGCCGGCGCGCATTTTTCATTGAGCTCGATGATGAAATACCGCGAGATAAAATAAAATCGAACATTCGTATTCGCGCTATTCGCCCGCGCTCCCGCCCGTCGGAGCGGCAGCCGTGACCAACGAGGGGTTAAATCCCCGTCATTCTGTCGACGAGAGGCCGATGCACGCCTCATCATCCGCGCGAGAAAGAGGTGAAAGATGCGGCATTGTTCGCGGCGCACATTGCTCGTGTGTGCTCGGGATATGTGCCGCGCGCACGTAGGTTGTCCTCTGGGGGCCTCGGGATCCCATATTCATGGGATTTATGGCGGGATCGCGCTTCTTGAATACCTTCGAACAATGACGATGCATCTCGACGCATTGTTGCGTGCCCGTAGGGCAATTCGAGTAATGCACCGGAATGCGACTTCTCGCAATTTCTTCGCATTGTTGCGCAAAGAGTTGTGAGCGCGCGTGAGGCTCTCTCATTGCGCAAAGCGATCGATTTTAGTCACGCGCACTCACCGAGAGAGAGAGCTCCGCCTCGAGAAATGATGGGCTCGCGCGATGCGCTCGAAAATTACGCGAGTACTCGCGAAACGGGGAATCTGTCACGCGGCGGAGAGAGCGACGGAAAAGTTTCTTACCTTCTGACTGACGGCTGAACGCCCGTTGCAGCTCCTCCTCTTCCTCCTCCTCTTCGTCGTCCTCTGAAACACACACATTCAAGCACGCTTTATTTAATTTATATTTCCCGCTCGCGCACGGAGGAATTTGCCTTAATTGATTTCATGCCGTTGTCGCGTTTAATAATTGCATTTGTTAAACTTAATATATCGACGTTTGTGCCGCAAATGTCCATTTATCGAGTAAAAGCCGAATGAACTCGGTAATTGAGTTTTTTTTGTTTTTTTGGTAGGGCGATTTAACTAATACGGGTCGGCTGATTCGATATGAATTTGATTATGAGATGCGTGTCTTATTTGTCCCGCCGCATGATTCAGTGTGCAAAGTCTGCCACCTGTTGTACGTAAATACTAAAGAAAACTACACGAGCTGGCAGTCTAACAAATAACACTCACGCTTAATCGCCGTCGTTTCGTTATCCTGTTCGGCCGCCTCCAGGACATTCTGCTCGTTGCCCTCGTCCCACTCTTCGTCCCCTGCGCGGAGAGAAGCCACCGTTAATTCTATTACATTTGCATATCGCGGGTAAAGAGCGGAATCTGCAGCTGCCTACGAGCTACGCACAACAAACGCGACTTTCTTGTCTTAAATCTCGCCCGGGAGAATTTGTCAAATCCGTCGGAATACATAATTTGAGGCTCCCTTCGCTTCATTCCCTTCTCTCATTTCCCTTCTTTTTGGGAGCTTTTGTAAAATCACGAAGCCATCTCGTCGAGGAACTGTTCGCTGTTTATCATCATAAACAAAACGACGAAGCATGTTTTCGCCATAAAATATACTCGGTCGGCGCTGCTGCCATCCGTTTGTCACGTGGGGGAGGGGGCAGTACCGCAGAATTAAACTTAAAAAATTACACCCCTGTCCACGTGGCCAACAGGTCGTTTGTTATTCCGTATGGCTCCCCGCATCTCTTCTCTCGTGATGATCTCTCCTCATTCTCTTTCTCTCTCACGTAGTCGCAACGCGAGCGAGTTTACGCGCGGCAAACTTGCCACTCCGACGATTACGCTTCGTTGAATTCCGAAGGTGTCAAACCGGGGTTTACCCCATCTATCCTCTCTCTCCTGCCACTATCTTGTCGAGCTTTTACCGGAACGAGGGCATTCGTCACTATTAACGGCTGATTAAGCCAACAAACCGCGCAAACTTTTCCTGCTAATTGCCGAGTGATTTGTTCGAACGTAAAGTTGCGCTTATGAAGGTAGCTGAAAGTTGTTCTTTTGTAATTCAGTGCAGCGCAATGTTGTCGCAAAATTGACGTTACGATAGAATCATTTTCTAATTTGTCGAGCGATTCGGAAAAATATCCAGAAAATAATAATATCCGGAAAAATTAATTAACAGACATATCTCTCTCTCATCGAATTCTTCTCGCCGGATTCTCGGCACGCGTCGAAGGAAGCCCGTTGAATAATAAATCGCGAGTCCACGACGGAAATATACAATTCGCGTGAAATTTTTCGCGAGCTAAATCTCGACCTGCCCGCACACTCCAACCGCCCGTTAGACGTCAGGCGAGGAACAACGAGCGCGTCAAACCTACAGACGGCGGCCGGGCTTAAATATTCCAGAAGACACGACGCGAAGGTACCGCATCCTTCGATCGTACACCCTGGCGCCCTCCGAACCCTGTCAGCTGTCAGGCATGTCAGGCCGCGCTTCGCGTTACCGACAACGATACCCGCCGGTTAATGGTTCATCCATCATCGTGTAACCGACGACTTTCCGCGAGTTCCGGTCAATTCGTTAATTGCGGTCCCGGTCGACTAACATCTTTATTCGTTTCCCGTACGACATTTATCATCGCGAAAAAATCCTTCCTACTTGCTTACAATAACTATAGTATGTTTATAATAAGTAAATTTCGGTCGTGCAGAAAGGTTATTTCGGGAGAAATTGGAGGAAGCTTACTTGCAGCGCAATTTTTCCACGCTACCTCAAAATAATTCCATTATAAAGGAATGACCTTATATATTAATTTGAGAGCTCTAAAATTCCGATTTTCTCAGTATATATAATGCAAGCAGAGCTTCGAGTTGTGGAAAATATCACGAAACTCGAAGATGCTGCGCGAATGACTGATTCGTTTGAGCGAATTCAATTTACCGTAAACACCGTAAACAATTTGACGATGAGACGACCTGGGCCTGACAATAATCGTAAAGGTGGGGTGGAATCAGCTATATCGGCACCCTTTCCGCACGTACCGGTACCTATAACGCGCGTACATCGTTTCGCAACGAGCCACGTAATACGGCCTGGCCTAGACGACGCCATTCTCAAGATGGTCCGGGAGAAGGTCGGCAGTGGTCGCGGCGGCGGAGGAGAGAGGTAGATTCTCGAAAATACAGGTTGCAATCTCGGCCGAGCTCCGCGGCTAACGTTAAACGGATGTGTTATTATGGCTTCGGCATGCACGCTGGCCAAGATAACTGCATATTGCGGCTTAACCCCTTCTAGGAGGATCATTCGAGTCACGATGCCCCCGTCTGCCGATAATGCTCCCGCGGCGGAAGTATATCGCGTCTTCCAAATAATAACGTTTTATCTTGATTCCCAAGAATTTTCCAGCCGGTAGTTTCGAGCGCGTCTCTTCGACGTGAAATCCTGCCCACTGATTGGATAAGTCGCGCGACGTCATTAAAAATAAGTGTGAATTTTGCGGAATTAACGGATAACGCTGTCGTATAGCAAAGCAGAATGTCAAAAGCGATTCTAAATGAAAATTCAAGTATCCTTGACGTTCGACAGGTAAATAAGAATGACCTGTCGACGTACAGTCGTGGACAGTAAGGTTGTCTCAGTGTGAGTTTCCGAACGCATCACATTTCCGGAAAGGCGGATACATGTATAACGACTCGTTGTGAGAAGAGGTAGATGACAAGATAAATGAAGTGTCGCAACGAACCGTATGATGAATCAGAATTGCCACAGACTTGGAAAACTGGCAAAATCGCGAAAGATCATGGAAATATAAAATGTCATTGGAAAAGTCAGGGAAAGATATAAAAAACCTGGAATTTTGAACTTTGTTTACAATTTATACTTAAATACTCTCAACTGTATTCTTCTTTCCAATCCTCGCTTATATTTTTGTTGGCGTTTAGCCTAGATTTGCAGTTAGTATCGCATTATATCACTAAACTTTTTAATTTGTATCGCTTCTAACAATACAAGCTATCTTTCCTGTTATTCTAAATGTTAACGTTTAAAGATTACATATTGCTTGTGAAAAATTCCCCATTGTCGTGTGGAAATTATGGAAAAGTCAGGCAGTTGCAAAATCCATTTTTTATGGCAATTCTGTGAATGAATGGAAAAGTAATGCGAAACTCACATTGAAACGACCGAATAAACCTTACTGCCCACGACTGTACTATGGGCCTGTTCGATCTCGCGGCTCGAACGACAGTCGAACGATTGCCTGAAAGCGGTCGGGAATTAACGCAACGTTTTAACGATAGGGCGATGTCCCTCCCAATGTGCCGTGTCAAGCCCGCGCTGGCCTCGGTGGTAACCCTTTCCGGGCGCGTCCCGCGGGACGCGTCGATCCTCGCGGAAGCCCGCAAGGGTCCCGAGTCATTAATCGATACGCCGTGAATAAAGGAGCGCCCTGCGGGTTATATCCGGGGCGCGACTGCGTTGCCGCCGCCGTACGTCTTGGAGTCCGTGACAGGCAGGCAGGCGAGTAGACAGCCGAGCAGCAGCCGCCATTGGGAAAGGCCGCCGGTGCTGCTGCTGCGGTAGGTGGTGGTCGGGAGGGAAGTCAATCCCGTGGGACCGCGTACCCAGGGTAGCTCTGACGCGGACTCAGACTCCCGAGGGACGCGAGCATCCGCCGGCGGCGGCGGCTCCCTCAGCGAGGCACCTGGAGGACCCGGGAATATTGCGGAGGGCCTTTCGTGCCCGTCACGCTGACGGCCGCGGTAATCCCGCGCTTATCGGCCCCGTAATCATTCGATTTTCGGCACAAGCAGGATACATTGTAATCGTTTCAGCGATAATCAAGGCATCACAGGCGGACATTCTTATCATTGACAGATGATAAGAAGACACACACGATAATATTCCCGATAATTGCTCGACTTTTTTCGATCAAGGCGCTAATCATAGACTCGTTCGGAATTTATTCCGATCGGGATCATTGAATTATTCCTTAAAAAAATACAAGAGAATAATCTAGAGAATGACTGAATGATCAGAATTCATTACGGACATGATAGGCGCCCTGGGCATGTATTATAAATCAATCCGATCAGGATTGATCGTTTAATTATTCCCTGTAAAATACAGGAGAATCTAAAGAATAACAAAATGATTCCGATCATTCCGAACAGTTCCATAATAAGTTCCCAGTTCTGGTAAATGTTTCTTTTCAATTGCTCGCGTAAACCAGCAGATCGATTGTTTAAGCGCTCAAGTTGCAACGGACGAAGATTCCCGGAAAAGGCACTGAAAGGGAATTTCTTAAATCGACGTCGCCGTCGCGCGACGCACATCGCCACAAAAGCGACGCCAAGTTTGCGGACTTGTCGACGGGTGGTCGCTCCTCAAAGGAATACCGCGTCGCGGGAATGTGTCCTCGAGTATGTCTTTTGTAACGCGTGCTCTCCTTCCACGCAGCCTTCCGCATACCGCGCGCTATTAAGAAGTGCGCATACACGCAGCCCCTCCCGAAGTTCTCCAACTTCATCTTCTACCTTCTAATTCCGTACGGACGATCTAACCTTGTCGCAGTTTGAGGCGAGTCTTGTTCTAACTTTCTCAAGATCGCCACAATTTTTTTTTTAATCGACTTATTGTATTACATATATACATTATTATAGTATGGTTGAAATTTCATATATTTTTCGAGCAGTTACCGAACGGTTTAACTTCTGTCTAGTAATAGAGAAGTAAAACTATTTCTAATCAAAACGCTTTTCCTGCAATTACTGCGCGTAAAACATGCGCAAAATCTGCATCCATTTACTAAACGAAAATAGAACAATAAATGGATTTAAAAAACTATTCAATCGATTAATAAGCAAGCTTGCTGTTCATGAAATGGACAGTTTTGCTTTAGAAGCACCCCTGATTAAAATTCTGTCGAGTTCTTGTTTATTTCCTAAGCAGTATTGTTAATGAGAATGCAATCATTAATACCAGACAGTAACTGGATCTAAGAAAACTGCATACATATCTATGAGACTAATTAAAATATTATTTCTCGCTTCGGTCGCCATCAACACAACGAAATAATTTCGTATTGTTATGCGAATTGTGTGTGTGAAAGTATCAATGAAATACGTAAAATTCCCGCTTAAAGCCAAAGTACGACCACAATATGTACGATACATCAGATCGCAATTATTGTGAACGTATCGTTATGGAAAATCACTCGAGAAGTAAACAGCGGACGCAGTAATTGGAATCCGGTAACCTGTGCGCTGTACTCTTCGTGGACAATAATTTAACGAGAGGCCGATAACTTAAT